AGATCCAGAGTAACTTGAATGGCTAGATGATCGGAGCCCAAGTCAGCAAGTGTGTCTATTTTCAGTATGTTATTCTGTAGGTTGCTCGAGTATAATAAGACATCTGGTGTGCTGTCTGGGTTGTTTTCCATAAGAAATGTTGGAGGTATGTCGGCTTGTTTGAAGGAAGCGTTTTTTATGAAATCTTTTATTTGTTTATTACGTGTTCTATCAACGTTAAAATCCCCGATAATCATGACATACTTGTATAATGCAGCCTTGTTAAAAATTGTGTCTTCTATGGTGTTGGAAGAATGGTGCACATATATCAAGAAAATATGAAGTCTATCTTCTAAGTATGGTAATGTGAAATGCATTGCTTCACTTAATCTGTTATTTATTCTGGGTGCATTATCTTTTTTAATCTTTAGGGAAGGACATGCTTGAACAAGGCTCCCTCCTCTGGCATTTTCTATTTTGAATCCATGTTTTTTTAATACATTCCAATTTCTGTAGCTGGTATTACTTTCTTCACTAGTTTTGGTTTCAACAAACATTGCACAGTTGATCAGATGACTTTCGATGAAATTGTTGATGAGGTGCTTTTTCGGTGTATAGCTATTAATGTTGGCATATAGTAGATTAAGGGCAGTGAATGTTGACATTAGAAATATCTCCTTGTTTGGTTTCAGTCGGTGAGTTAGTGTTGGGGGCATCTAAATCGAACATGAAAATGAATGCACGATTTCCTCCTGTAAATACAATGCTAGTATCAATATTGTATTCCTCCACGAATCTCCTTTTTAGTTTGTTTATCAGTTCATCCCTGTTTGTATTTTTTGGCTTATTGAGTTTGTGTGTATATGTATTAATGATGTGGTCATGGATGGTTATGTTAGAGTGGATTTTGGTTCCTGACTTGATCCCTTCTCGTATCTCGTAGGATTTTTTGTTCAAGCATTTGATTGATGCGTTTGGTATTCCGTCGATGGGTTTAGTGGGTCGTTTTGGACATTTGAAAGACCATGCTTGGTGGTTCTCTGCTCCGCAGGCATTACATTTAGGTGGTAAATTCGAAGTACATCTGGTTGTGCTGTGGTTGCCTTCACACTTGTTACATTTGATAGGGGCATTACAATCATCTGTCTTGTGTGTAAATTTGAGACATTTCTTACATGGTATAGGCGTAGGTTCTGGGGGGTTACTAGGGTAAGCTGGATAGTGCCTTTTTTTGAAGAAAACTCCCTCATTGATGAGTTTTTCATATGCTTGAAGATTGTTCGTTATTACCCTTAAATATGACGTAGGTTTGGCAGTAGCTCTAGAAATAATACGTTTACAGAATCTATGTTCTATCTTTTCTTTGGTTAGGTGTTCGCTCATGAGAGAATCCTCAATTTCTTGTTCAACGTTAGAGATGATTGCAGAGAATGATTCAGCTCGTGGTGTTGGTATTTGTGGATCATGTGTGTTTGATTGTGTCTCGCTGAAGTCTGTTATGGTTTTCCTTTTTTTCAGTGTTTTCAAGTGGTTGGTTATTATTAATTTTGAGGTGTTAGTTTTCAGCAAAAATCCTTTTTTAGTTTGAAGAATAACATCTTGTGTATTTGGTTGTTCAGTTTCCCAGATATCAGCCATCTGAATTCGGTTCCTAATTTCTGTAGGTGTGTTTATGTAGTATAAAAACTTATCATCATATCATATCATTTTTACCGGAAATATGAATTGGAGCAATCAATTGCATGCAACGAAATATTGTAAACTGTAAAGCGGCTCTTAGAAAATTTAGTTTTCTGTGTGTGGGTGCTTCCCGGCTGTCAGTTGTCAGATGCCATCGGTTATTCAATTTTAAACTAGTTTTTCTGCAACCGACACAAAAGTCGTCCATTTTGATACCAAAATTAGCTCTTAAATTGACGTTTCTATTACTGACACAAAAATAGGTAGGTTGCTAGGCAACATATTTAGTTCCTAGGAGCTAAAATTGAATTTTAGTTCCTAGGAGCTAAAGTTGAACTTCAGCTCCTAGGAACTAAAAAGGAAGTACTGGACGTCATCAAGAATGAACAACATTGTGACGATTGGTTATTTGGGTTGAGACGCATACCTGATTTGTTTCCGATTTCAGCAGATTTGGAATTTCATACCCATGCTGGAGATATAAATACACCTTATTATAGTTTAGTATTGGAATTATAAACATCTCAGCTGAGTATTTTTGTTTGATCAGGGAAGCCTTCAAGATTCAAATACTTGCTTGATCTGTATTACATTCGTTATTCTCGGGATGGATAACTTGTTTTTGAATAATCACGGCAAGCAATAGTTTTTTGTCTCAAACAACGATATTGTTTAGCTTCATTTGATTATTGAGTGAAAAACATTGTATCATAGAGAGGAGTAAATAATCGCCATTATCATTGTTGATATGCTCATTAACCTAACATTTTCCACGTCTTGTTCCTATAGCTGGCGCGGTATTTGCTATTAGAGCACCTGGTCCATACACAAATATGTCACTTTGTGATTGTACTTATATTGAAACTACAATTCGAACATCCTTGAAAATTGAATGAACCTGCTGTTGATGCAGGTAGAATGTTCTCACTACACGGATTATTTGTCAATATTTGTTGCATTGCATACATATGGCACGGCATTGGTGGTAACTTCACATATTTATTTGAGTTAATTGTTTCGGTTGCAGAAAAAATAACATGTTTCATTCGGATCAAAAGTGACTTTGTTCGACTCGCAAATTTTGCTTTCGCTCGGCTTCGCTAAACGCTCCGCCTCGCAAATGCAAAATTCGCTTGTCAAACAAAGTGTCACTTTTGATCCTAATAAAACAATCTACTATTAAATTGAAGGTAATAATGAGATTTGTTCCCATTTGATAAATATTGAATTAATTCACGACTTACTTGAAAAAAGTCATTTGAATTAATTCACGAATTGAATAACTGACTCAATTCATATGTATTAATTCGTGCCAGCCCTGATGATTACAAGTACAAAAATACTTGGGGAGATATCACATTCCAAAGTTTAACTGAAATGTTTGTATATCATTGATTAAAGGTAAACAGCCGAACCTTGCTTTCATCAAGGTCAGATGCACTGCAAGTATCAATGACTCGATCAATGACTGTTGCAATATTGATTAACATTGATTAACATGAGTGACTTCACACCTAACTGAAATGAAGACAAGTGAAGTAACCACCAAATGTGACTCACTTGACAGATTATTTTAATAATATGAGTAAGTAGATACAAACAAGGCCTCAGACTACTTCACTTTGTTACAATTTGTGTTGACATCCATCATGTCAACAGAAAGAAATTTCTGTTTAGGTCCTAGGAGTTGAAGTTCATATTGGAATTAAAATGGACGACTTTTGAGTCGTTTGCAGAAAAACGGTATTTCTTGCTACCGGTGAAAAAATCACAGATTTGTCAAACTCAAATAATGGGAGATGCATTTATTTTTGAAATTCAAAGGAACAAATTTATGAATAAGTTGAGAATTAGGATTATTGTTATCTAGTATATTCTTTTGTGAAATCGAAATTCGATCCTTCTCACTCATAATGGACTATACAGGGTTAGGCAAAAGTATAGAAACAGGTGAATATATCGATAACCATTCGTTAGATTTCTCCGAATTTATGTACAGGGTGATTTCAAAACGTGGCGAATTTGAAAAGGTTATGGCCAATGTTGCCACTTTTTCACTTATTCCAAAATTAATATTGAACTCCTCATTTTAAATAGAACACCCTGTTTTTTATCGAATTTTCATATTCCCCCTGAAAAGGTGATTTCATCGATCTATCATACTGGGTGTCTAGCATGAATGATTACAGAGATATAGGGGTTTCAAAATCGATGTTTTTTTGTGTCGAAACTATTCATCATTGGTCAAAAAGGCATCCATATCTCCACCTTAACTTCTGATTTGCTGACTATTGACATTTTTGATTGAAACAAATACAGAGTGGTAGAAGATTCAGAATTCTGATCACCCTGTATTTTTCCCAATTAAATGTCAGGTGATAGTAAAGCTATTTTGACCCATAATGAATAGTATTGACACAAAAAAATCTTGAAGTGGAAAAATCTCGATTTGGATCACCCTATATCTCTGTGAGCATTCCCGCAAGTGTGATAGATAGATCGATGAAATCGGCTTCTCAGGGATAATCTGAAAATCAGAACAGAACAGAGTTCTATATAAAATAAGGAAGATGATAATAGTTTCGGAATAACTGTAAAAGTGTCAACATTGCCTATAACCTTTTCAACTCTGCCACGTTTTGAAATCACCCTGTACATAAATTCAGAAAGTTCTAACAGACGGTTACCGAGATATTCACCTGTGTCCATACTTTTACCTAACCCTGTATAAATTTCTGAGTATAATACATTGACTTTCTCATTTCCTCTCTGTAATCGCTCATTTTCAGAAAATGGAGCCAAAATGTTTTTTTCAAATGGGACACCCTGTATATTCTTATCCAGGTCGTATCATATATCCCATAGCTTTTGTTTCTGCAGATAAACAAATGAAATTCGGTGTGTAAATGTAGCACATAAATAAGCTTTATTTGACGTATACAATTGTTTTCGGTAGGTTATTTTGTTGTTTTAAATGGGACACCTGGTATATATTCACTTATTTTGATAGATTGGGAGTACATTGCTACTTTTTGACATTTATCATCCTGAAATGTTGATGTTTCAATTTTCAATCTAGGCTGCCATGAAATTGTTTCTACGTAATTTCGCTTTCTATTTGGCATATAGCCAGGAAAGTAGTTGTTTTTCTCTCGTTATCTACCATTTTCGTTCATTTCATGAACTATGGTGGTAATGATTTCGAGTTCATCTTCTTTGTGACCATTGCATTCCACTTTGAGTATTCGGCTTTTTTCCTAGTTGGATTATAGAAATGTTATTATAAAAGTATGGGATCAAGTACTTTGAAATCGAAATACTCCTGACAGTTAAGGGGTGCCGATAGAACCTTGTTAAAAGTTAGAAAATTCATTTTGATATTTTAGAGCTGTTGCTGAATTACTAATTTTTTTTATTATTATTATTTTTCAGTATTGCAATGGCGGAGATTTAGCAGACTATTTGCATGGTGAGTAGATATCTACAGTATACACAAAATAATATTAACCATCATCAGTATTCTGTTCTTTATATTTTTATATGTGTTATTTATTCTGTAATCTTTCAGCGAAAGGGACACTCAGTGAGGATACTATACGTCTATTTCTGATTCAGTTGGGTAAGTTCGGATATGTTGAATTAATTTGATTAGTAAAGATACCCAAATCTCCTATGACCTCATATTCGATATTCGAATTCTCAGCTTTTGGAAGGGAGATATGCAAAACGTTCTTCAATATCATTTTTAACGAAGACTATTGAATTGAATCTTTCTAATTCAGTGTGATAACTTTTATTTAAATCCAGTCAAACGTTTCCTTCCTAAATATATCAATGAGTGTATGGAAAGATCTTTTTTGCCAAATGACACTTAAGTGGCTTTTTAATGACACTTATCAGGCATAAAAGGTCTACTTTTATCTCGACTTTTACTGCCCAGGCAAGTTTGTTGCTATGGAACGTTGGAAAGTAATGATTTTAATCAAATTGGTAATCAATTGGCAATGACTCTGGGTGAGCACAAAATGATGTATGAAATTATAAGTTTCATATGGCAGAGAAGAAGACGTAATGCCTAGTAAAACAAATAACTATTATTATCAATGGATTGATTTTTTTTCAATCATCAAACACGTGGATTTTTCATTTCTTTGTCATACCAGTTTCTCCTGATATTTCACCGTCTCTTGACTTTTCGAACACCATGTAAAATTATGTTTTTTTATCGCCATTTCAGCTGGTGCAATGAGAGCTCTGTATGCCAAGGGAATAGTTCATAGGGATCTGAAACCACAGAATATTCTCCTGTCACACAGCGGAGCAAAGGCACATCCTCAACCCTCCGAGATCAAATTGAAAATTGGTAAGTTTTTGGAACTGTTTCATATTTTTTAGTAAAAAGCATGGTGGAAATACGTGCTACGGCGCATCTTCCTATACGTAACTGCGAGTAAAACAATTGCTCGCAGTTATCAATTCGCCCGAGTCGTCGTGATACCTTCAATTGGTGTGAGTTTAGAGTGTTTAGACTCGTTAGCACGTTATGCGCAGAGAAGACTAATTAGAGATACGTGAGGAGCACTATACAGGGTGTCCTACCGGGAACTGCATCGATCAATATATAGAAAACCATAGGTGGGCCGAATTTGAAAATTTGGGAGTTCACTATTGTTGATAAGTGCTATGCGGCTGAAATATTTTGAATATTGTGGCACTTCTGGTTGTACCGGAAGTGGACCCCAACTTCGTTATTTTAAATGGGACACCCTGTATATTATCAATATCATTCAATTGGTATCAAATCACCAAATTAAGTGCAAATTATTGCACAGGAAAGTGCGATTTTGCTCAGGATAGTAATCGGCATAGGTGCAATTTTGTTATCAGATGACCGTCGAAATTTTCAGCTGGATCATGTAGATCTATGTTTTAATACTGTATCATGAAATTAAGGTTCTACAGGGTGGTGAGTCTTGAGGCGGACACACTGTATATTTGGGGTAAAATAACCAATACCAATAAATGCATCAAGGTGTTTTTTTGCCGATGAGTGCATGAAGATAGTTAGGTTTCTGAAGAGACTCAATGCTTCTCATTGATTCAGAATACAATGATGCCTTAAGAGGCGCTAACGCTCGTCTATCTAGTTCAATACTATACTACTATCGGTCGCGTGCACGATGACCGACCCTGGAGGCAAAATATTGAAACACAACCTCACTCTTCTGTGAATTATTGAAACACAACCTCACTTTTTTTATATGTTTACAGAGGAATCAAAGGATTGAAATAGTTTTTCACAATATTTTGGCACACCAATCGTGTTTTTTGCGCTATTCATTAATTCAAGCATGCCTTCGCATTGTGCTGTTGTACAATGCGCAAAAAATGCAGCGAGAGACGATGGAATATGATTTTCAGGATCAGGTAAATAGTAATCTCACATAATTTTTACTATGAAATGTTGTCATTCCTTATTGAAATTCCTTCTTCCACTTCTGCAATACAATCTAATACTGCTAATAGATTGAAAATGTCTGCAACACGCATGATCTTATTTCGTCAGCATGTCAGACCAGTCCTCCAGTTTGATTGCATGAATCCAATCTTCTTGCATTATTTTAGAAATTTCACGAGTATCAACTATAAGCTCCTATTGCAGAAGGAATTCCGATGAGAAGTCAGAGGAATTACCAAATTTCAAAAATGAAAACTATATGTGAGTGACTATAGTAGGTACTTACTTTTAAATCATAATGTACCAACCGGATTCCTTCGTCTTCCGCTGCAGTTTTTGTGCATTGTACAACAGCACATTGTGATGGCATGAGCGAAGTAATGAATAGCCGAAAAATACGATTCGTATGCCAAAATAATTGTGAAAAAATATTTCAATCACTTGTAAACAAATAAGAAAAGTGAGGTTGTGTTTCAATGTTGTTCCTCCAGGGTCGGTCATCTGACAGTTCTTGCACGCAACCCATAATGTTATATTTATTTTCTGTCCTATTTATGAATGTTTTCGGCAACCTGTAATGAAAACACTGAACAATCTGAACGATTTATGTAATTCTTTCAACTCTTTAGATTCACAAAAAGTTTAAATCATTTCCTTGTTTTTTCTGTTTTCTCTTTTTTTCTGTTGTATGGGTTTCTCTGTATTTCCTTCCTGTATGTACCTTCGTTATATTCAGCTAATGTATTTTTTTTTATTACTCATTGTACAAATAATTATTGGGATAACATTATAACCACTATTAACTAGGAAAGCTCTACTCTCATATTAAGTTACACTTATACTTTTGTCTTCTGCAGCAAGCTAAACCCTTGCAATATATACATACATATTTAGATGGAAGCTATACAAATAATTTTAATTCTAATTCTACTATACCTTTGAAATGTTCAATTTGTCCCACCCTATACCCAATCATCAGAATTCAATAAACAAAATATAATGATATTCATAAATTTTTCAGCTGACTTTGGTTTTGCAAGATTTCTACAAGATGGTGTGATGGCAGCTACACTCTGTGGTAGTCCGATGTATATGGTGAGTATAATGATTGACACGACCTCTTCGTACGCTCATACTGATGTAGTAAAAGTCCCGGTATATAGGATTTTCAGTTCGTTTTGACGAAATTTACTGTAGCCAATCGAACAGCACAAAATAACTGTGTGATTATGTAAGGGTACGAAAACAAAAGAGGTGTATAAGTTTGCCATCTGAGAGAGTACCCACAAAGATATAGAGCAATTCCAGTAAATGTAAAAACTTCACAAACGATAAGATTTCCACAAAGCCATCAAACCGACGACATGTTTCGCTAACACAGTATCTTCATCAGGTGATATACTAGTACAATGAACCCAGTTAATTGTACCAGTATATTTAATTCACGAAATCCGATAGATAACAACTGTCTATTGTCTCGCCTGATTGCTAGCCTCGTCTAAGAACTCGGCTATCAATTTGCAGACTCGACTATAATAGATAGTGTTTCGTCCTTGGTACATAAATAACTATAGAAAAAATTGACTTTGATTCAGATGACTGGAGGTGGGAACAGCAAAAGTGTTAAACATGTGCAAACTTCTTTCAAGATTATTGAGTTGGAGAACTGAATTGATGGTTCTTTTCAGGTTTTAACAGAGTAGATGCTTTTACGCATTAACTCAACATTAAGTTCTGTGTGTCGTAGCATTAACTGAACATTAAGTACTGTGAGTCTTAGTGTCAGAATTCAGTATTATAATGATCCATACACCATGAAGACCAAACAAAGACCACGTGAGCGTACGGGAATATTTCCACACTGTTCGTTTTTACTTTCGCATTGCTATGGTACGCTCGTGTTGGATACACAATTTTTTCGTGTGGAAAAACTCAAATTGCCTTATTCCGCACGCCAGTAGAAAAAATTGCATAATTTTAGAAATTTACTGAAACCAAAGAGTCAGTTCTATCCCCACCAGGTTAGCTCTCAGTCCCAAGTCTGATACCGCGTATATCTGTTGCATTTTCTGCTGGTCGACTGGCTTGTAATACCTATACACCGGTAATTTCAGTCCCAATCTGTATGTCAAACAGCTATCCCTGAATCATGTGGTTGAGTGGTATAAATTTCCTGCTCGTATTATAGGCTCCAGAAGTGATAATGTCGCTTCAATATGACGCCAAAGCTGACCTCTGGAGCTTGGGTACCATAGTTTTCCAATGTTTGACTGGGAAAGCTCCATTTCAGGCGACTACACCGCAGGCATTGAAGCAGTTTTACGAGAAAAACGCCAATCTTTCACCAAAGTGAGTGTTCAACATGTTCTAGATAAACATTCAAATATTTTTCCTATTCCCTAAATGTTTTTCATCATCGATCAATAGTGAACAAACTGAATACCTTATTGAAGTTCCCAAAACTTCAGTGGTGGCACTACAAAATTTCCAGGTCTGAAAGGATTACCATTTCCTAGGTCTTTTTCATTTGAGTTCAATGTTTAAGATTCCTGTATGCCAGGATTTTATTGAATACAAATGATATATCAATTTTTGGGAATTTTAATTCGTTAATGTTATTCAGATGTTGCAACAAAACAGGTTTTGCATCGTCATAATATGTCAAATTTTAAACACTGATGTGACAATCAATTGATTTAAATACATGATTTAAGGCGCGATTGAAATCACATGACTATGATCAATCAAATCATATTTTGTTAGTTATGAAACTAGCTACTCAGATGTGAGAGAATTAACACATAATATATACAGATGTTTTTGCAATGCTGCCTGGCAAACAAAATTGCAAAGACCTCCGCCTGAAAGATTGTAGCATACTTATCGAAATTGACAGAGATTTCCGAATGGGAATTGAGAAAATAATACTATGCAACTGCATCCAACCAACGAGGCACGTATACGTGATATTGGTTGTAAATGTTTTCAGTCCTTGGTCCAGTCCATATGATACATGAATTTTACTAACCTTTGTGAATAAGAAGTTTTGATCGGACGTAGAAGATAAAAACTCTTCGATTCGCTGAGGTGTCAAAGTTTTCAATTTTTCAGGTTTGTATCCATATTCTGAATGCATAATTTTTGCTTACATAAAATAAATGTTCTTACATTTATATACAGGCTGATTTTAAAATAAGTGCATATATTTTAAACACTAAGAAAGCTTGAGGTATACTACCGAATAGCACTATTAAAAATATTATTAGGATCAAAATAGATTTGGGGCGAAATACTCTTTTTCTGCCCAGATTTCTACTTCTGTCACAACTATCGTTTGCGATCCGCAGTCGACCGTGATGAACGAAGCGACGTTGCCACTCTACATGAAAATTAGGAGATATTAAATAAAATGTATACTCGAGAAAATGTACATGGGGAAGAAGTTAACCCTAGTCTTGAATTTCAGAAAGATAATACAAAAACTTTAAAATGGACTCACCCAAGATTTGTACACATAAGCTCGAATAGCGTATAGCTTAACACCTCACGGTTGGAAGTTCTTTTACTGAAAAATCCTTTAGACCCTTCCTTCCACCTCCTTGCATCGCTACAATTTCGTGTCCTTCGAGGAGTCTCATGGGCATCGCACAATAACGACCCGACATAAGAACCATATCATTCAGCTCAATGTTTGAGAAATGCATCGTCACTTTCCAAGCAAATTGTCAGAAACAAAACTTTACATTTACTAGTCAGTGTTGTTCCTGGGTCTGATTTTTTCGTAATAGATTTCCTTGGAAAAAGGTATCAGATTTATATCAAAAGGTAATAGACTCGAAAAATCTGACATTTGACATTCGGAATGTCATTCTTGTCAAACCCTATCGCACTAATCACAGTTTTGACATAAATATAGAACATAGAACGGAACATAATTATCCGCTGAGCACAGAAATAGATTTTTTAGTATTGGAACATATTTTGGTGCTAATAGCAAATAGTAATAGATTCATGACAAATCGTAATATCGTAACAATCTTCGTGAAATAGTAATAGAACGCGAACAATCCTAGTTAGTACTGTCAAAGGTCACAGCAAAGAGGAAATCTATGGTCACAGATACTGCTGTTCTGAGAAATTATGTTGACAGATCATATGATAATAGTTTTGTTTGTGTGGTTGCTGGTTTGTAAAATAATTGTAAACGTAAAATAAAAAATAAAATAATTGGATGTTGTGTCTTGTGTCGTGATAATCGTGATATGGTCGTGATCGTGATTTTCAATGTGAGATTGCCAGGAAGGATATGTCGTCGTCGAGTCGTTTTCGATGGTTTAAGTGCGAATATGAACCAACAAGAACACAGGACGATATTAGTCTGGAATGGACTCGATATTAGTATTTGTTTGCTCTCGGGAGTTTTGCTGTTCGAGCAGGTATGAGAAAATCTACTAGGTGAATCGATTTTCAACTTTGTGTATGTTGTGTACCTATTTATTATCTGCTAATTTTGTATCTACCCGCTGGGGCCTTATTTTCGAATTGAAGGAAGGGGGACGTTCTATCATTCCCCTCATGTTTCTTTCCGTCTCTCGTGATCCATGGAGATAATCACCCCACAGTTCTCTCAGTAAACTTTAAAAAATAAGGCTCCTGTACATATTACATTCACCTCTATTAGTTTCCATAACCTATTCCAATTCATATTCATTCTGTGACAAATTTTTATCAGGATATTCGTCTCTGAAACAATCTGGCATCACTGTCTTGTTTTGACGTTAGTGAATGACGAATTGGAGATTCCCTGGGATTCCGCAGATTTCACTTGCTTCCCAGTGCCGTACTCGAATTTCGAAGCATTTTATGTTCAATTTTCAAAATGAAATTTCTCGTTAATGTGAAGACTTAGGAAAAATCAAATATTTTAGTAATTTTTGTTAGACTCTCTCATATATATGTCTTGAATATATGCACTCATTTTAAAATCAGCCTGTATTGTGATGGTCAGCATAGAATTGATTGCTCACAAAGATGAGAGCTTAATTTTCACACAGAGCTCTTGGAAATATGCAAGTACCTGAAACGTTATCTTCGATTTCACTTTCGTCTATATTTCGCATACATTTTTAATGAAGAAATTTCGTAAATGACAGTTAACAGTTCCTATAATTGACAGGACGTACAGGACTGAAGGTGTATATAATAAACTGTGTTGCCTTGGTAATGTGTTTAAGAAATTGTTTTGCCATGGTAACGTGTTTAATTTTTTGAATGAATCACAGATCGTCAATCTGTAAATAATCGTTCATTCAGCGTGGTACATATCCGTACGCTAAATGTCATTTTAGTTATGTGAGTAAAAAAACTAATTTTTATATTACAAAATACTAATATTTTTTGAAGAATCGCTGTTGGTACGAGCCCTGAGCTGAGCGAGCTGTTGATGGGTTTGCTAAAGAGGAATGCCAGAGAGAGGATGAACTTCGAATCATTTTTCAACCATAAATTTTTGAAGAGACCTGATCCACCTCAGTCGCAAAGTCCATTACAGGGTGGTAAGTGAGAAAATGAAAATGAAGCATTTAAAATTGATTTATATGTATGCATTCAAAGAACCTATCATTCATATGGTGCATTTCAAATTATTTTTTAATTGACTCGGCCGTTACTTGATGGAAATCCATGGCAAATGTGAAAACTTCACAAACGATGAGATTTTCACAAAATTCTCAATCACACGACATGTTTCGCTAACACAGTAGCTTCATTTTCGGAAAATAAACACAATTTCTACATTAAAATACGGTGTACCGGATTAACTTGAAAGGGTTGATAGCAAATACATATTATTACCTACTAAGAAAACAAATTCAACAGTGGGGAACTATTGAGGTCTAGTTGATCGTTAAGTAAAATGTTTGAGTTTGTTGATTTCTAATGATTCAAAATGATTGAGTTTTATTCCTTGATTTTCTAAGTGTAGAATTTCGAAATTATCAAGGCAATGGTATTCTTCTAATATATGGTTGGCGTATGTTGAATTTGTTTTCTTTGTCAAAAAATTCATCTTAGGTTCATGAATGCGCTGATTAAACCCTGTCTGACCGATATATACTTTAGGACAAGATCCACATTTGAGTTTGTATACCCCTGATTTTTCGAATTTAGAAGTTTTGCCTTTATTATTCTTGATTAAATTTCCAACGTGGTAACACGTGTGGAAATCTTATTGTTTGTGAGGTTTTTACATTTTTTATTTTCTTGTTTTCACCTGTATTTTGTATCTCACTCAGATTTTGTCTAGCCAATAAAATTACTTTCATAAATTTTTGATATGACTTCGTTTTTGAGTTATTTGCAAGAATCTGAATTTTTGGATGATCATTTTTTTGGCGTTGATATGAAGTTCAAGTTTCAGTGCGTTTCGAGCTGATTTTGGCCACCTTCAAGTATTTTTCGGAATACGGTATTGAATGGCAACTCTTCTATATATCTCCACATAATATTCTCATATTCTGTCTTCTAGAATGCCTACAAAGAAATCTATTCTAGCACTAGCCCTAAACGTTCTTCTCAAGACATTTTTTTCTCAAAGTAATGATGAAAATTTTACATATTCCTGAGTTGTCTTCACGGTTTTGATTTAAATTTTGTATCTAAAAATATATATCAAGTACTTGAAGATGTACCTTTGCTTTCTCGAATAGTGGACTTTATTCAACATATTATTATATCTTTTAGAGTGATATATTGGCCATGTTCCGATATTGCTGACATTATTGGCCACAGTAAGTAATTTAATTTTAATAATAGTAGCAGTAGCTTTGAATTTTCATTTCATTTCATAACGATTTTGGCAGTACTGGTACACTGGTAGCAAAACATAACCATAACCGATCTTTCAATTTTCGATTTTCTGTTTTGTTGGTTTTTATTTTCCGATGGTGAATCTGATTTATCAGAAACACCAAGCTCTAGCTTTAGCTCTAGTTCCAGTGATGAAGAAATAAAGCATAGCTGTGAAATATTTGATACCAAAAGTGGAAATAACAAACCATCTTGTAGATCAGCGGCAGTTTCAGCGACTACCGCCTCTGTGAGATCTTCCAGTTCGACTTCATACATTTTCCCAAAGTATTTGAAAATAATAATATATAATTTTATTCGACTCATAAATGCTTGACCTAACATTTCATAAATACTGGCACTACATCACCATTTCTGCACCAGTGGCCAACAGTAAACTTTTAGCCTCTTAGGGTTAGGGTTTCTTGCAATGGCCCGCGAAAACGTTGCCAGTAAATTTCAGTGAAATCGGAACGATGAAATATACTGGGCAGTACTGTTCGGAAATATCGGAACATGCTCATATTGAATATCATCAGATGTATCGACAATGATCATTGATATATAAATGGTTACGTGGAAGAGCAACTCTGCAGAATATCGCTAGCCTTTTTCATTTACTTTATTGTAAACTGATTATTATTATCGAGTATAATTATTGTTATTATCAGTATTGTTACATATCATTTGATAATGGTTTATTTCAGAACTTCCCTTACCAATATATGGCTCACCTCCCACGTTGTCTAAACTGCCACGAAGAGCTTCAACACCTATTAAAGTTGCTACTCCACCTATATCTCAGCCTGGTAATATTTTAAAATATTTTCGAATCTCCATAATAATGTCATCGTAATTTCAAATCTATCTCCTATCTAAAAATCATTTGCATGTCTCATATTATTATGAATCGACAATTTTGATTTGCATCAATACTATAGTTATAGAGGAAATGTAAGTGTCACTATTTTTTATGTTCTCAATGAACTCACAAATCGTATATTGTTCCCATTGATAATCATGTTTTTGAGCCTTAGCTTCATCTCCTTGTGTTAAGTATGGAAATTGTAATGTAAGAATATATATGAATTGGAAAAACAATGAAAGTTAGTGGTTAGTACCAATTATGATTCATCTCAAAAATGTTGATTCATCCACTCTTCTAATTCTTATTGAAAATAGAAAGAACATTGGTCTTCGTTGAGTAATTCTAGATATTTGTTACGATGATACGAGGTCTAGCAATCAAGTAATGAAATAACCGGACTCTCCTGCCAACTTTAATATCGTTCCTTTATTTAGTAATTTTAGTAACCATTTATCAGGGTCGTTATAGCTTTTCACCTGTTTGTGACATCATTAATTCTGCTATATTTTGCTTATCACTGAAATGTCAAAATCACGGGACATAATTTTCTAGTCTGATGACCTTGAGATGGCGTTGTTCTTATAGGTCGCGTACACGATGTTCGACCCTGGAGGTAAATCATTGAAACACAACCTCACTTTTCTGTAAAACATTGATAGACAACATCACTTTTCTTATTTGTTTACAAAGGAGTCAAATGAGTGAATTAGTTTTTCACAATATTTTGGCATAGGAATCGTGTTTTTCGAGCTATTCATGAATTCAAGCATGCAATCACATTCTGCTGTTGTACAATGTACGAAAAATGCAGCGAGAGACGAAGGAATATGATTTTCAAGGTAAATAGTGATCTAACACAGTTTTCGTTATGAAATTTTGTCATTTCTCATTAGAATTTCTTCTGCCACTTTTGCAATAGAAGCTAATACTGCTAATAGAGTGAAAATGTCTACAACACACACGATCATATTTCGTCAGCATGTCAGACCAGTCCTTTCGACCCTGCCGTTTGATTGCATGAATCCAGTCTTCTTGCCTTCTTTTAGAAACTTCACGAGTATTTCTATTAGCTACTATTTAAGAAGGAATTTCAATGAGAAATGAGAAAATTTCAAAATGAAAACTATATGAGTGACTATATTACTTTTAATCGGATTCCTTCGTCTCTTGCTGCAGTTTTTGTGCATCGTACAACAGCACAATGTGATGGCATGCTTGAATTAAAGAATAGCCAAAAAACATGTTTTGTATGCCAAAATAATATTAAAAAACTATTTCAATCCTTTGTAAACAAATAACGAAAGTGAGGTTGTGTTTCAATGTTTTAACTCCAATGTCGGTCATCTAAATGAAAAAACAACTATCCACTCGCCCATACAGGCCTGAAAAGGCTGTGGTCGTTGGGGGACTTATTCGAAGTGAGTCAGTAGGGAAAAGTAGGTTCATCATGCCAGTCAATATACTATACCTCATATCACGTTCTTTATTAAAATAATATTGGTTTTTATGTGTGCATAGGGCTATTGATGAGTTGACTAAATGGGATGTGTTTTTGGTGTTTCTCAAACAATGAGGTGGATTGATCATTTGTTAAGACTCTTTTGCTATTCTACTCACATTCATACATAACGCTTTCAAAAAATAATACCTATTTTTAATTAATCCAAGATTTTGGTGACAGAGAGTCATGGGATACAGGGCTACATAATTTTCATCTGTATGTTGTGTAATTTTGCTGTTGAGGATTTTCCAAATAATCTTCCTATCTAGAGATATAGTTAAGCCCCTAGGTACAGTCAAATGCAAATGTCACGGTTGGATGGTGCAGAACTGCCTAGAAGTACTATTACCGCCCATTTGTGACATGTTATTTGCATGAGTTTACTCACGATGTTTCATGAACGTAATAGGGATTTCCATTCGTGCGTTCCCAAAATACAAAAATCTTGGGAACGGATTTGCGGAATTTGTGGAAAATCATTCTTTCAAATGATTTTCCCTTTTCGCTTCCTAATACTTTCTGGTGACAGAATTTTGTAAGAAAAAAGTGTGAGTTACAAGGTGGCTTTTTAATTGAAGATGGTAATTTCATATGGACAACTGGCAGAGTGGAATGATTTTAAAATTATAGGAAGCGGAAATAACCTCAAGTGAAAAATCTAAGAATCCGATTGCATCATTCTGAACGGAGACAATATCATTGCTTCCTGTTCTATCTGAATCCAAGGATTCCTCACATTATTGTGAACACCCTGTATTGAAAATTAATATAATAATGATGTTGTTGCTGCTTGATAACTTATGTCCAACTTTCTACCTTCTCAGTATTGAGAAGGGTCTGGATATATTTATTCGAGAATAAATATATATTTTTTTAATATTGCATGTTTGAAACTTGAGCATTTATAAACTAAACCTGCATTAAATCATTCATTTTATTGCTTATTGCTTGTAGAATCACCGCGATCTACAAGAAACGCACTCAGTTCAAGTCCTGAAGATGATTATGTTATAGTTCCTCAAAACATCCAAATCCAGTCGGACCATTCACCGGAAACTAGTGTGGAAAAAGAAAAACCAACGTAAGTTTTAGGTCATTAAACGATGAATCAAAGTATCTCAATGGACCCGTTTAAGTGAAAATCATCATTTCATTATTTGTGAAGTACTAACCGAAACTTGTTCATTGTCACAAACCGTTTTCTCTTCAGAGCTCTGTACATTTTTCAAATAATTATAGGAGTTCACGATATTTCATAACATGAAAAACTAGGGACAATTCATGTACGATACGACTTACCTATGCATTGTGTGTATTTCAATACACTCCTACTGTAGATGTGAATTCTTATTTCTATGTGGAATTTGGATATACAGGCTGAGTCAGGATGAGACCGACGACAAACTTTGTACACGGATTTCTTACCTCATTTTGAGGTGAAAAGTTCCTAAATGTACTAAAATACATCCTCACTGAGATACAGGGTGTCAAAAGTACAAAAAAAGTCAAGATTTCTTCAAGTTTCTCCAGAACCCCTGTACAAAATATATGGAACACGATATACCGATTCAGATTAATCAGGGTGATCACATTTCTTAATTTTGTCAACCAGTAGCGTAGCTAGGGTCGTATATCGCCACATTTTCCTTCATATTTTTCGTTAGACAGATGAATTGTGAAATTGGTGTATGACATCAGTTAGTCTTATCAACACCTAACCTAAAAGTAATACTATTCTGCATGCCTAAGTGTAGAGGTTCCCAAGATATTTGAAAAAACTAAAGATATGTCTTGACGTTGAGACGCAGTTCGCTGCGTCCCATCATCACATAATGCTGAACTTTTACGAGGAATCAAAACAATTTTTAACCTCCTGAACAACTTTGAATGTTGATAAGATTTAAAGCATTGTATGGGTGAGTCAGAATTAGTTCTCTTAGAAACCTTTATCACTTAATTGAAAACTGTTGTTTCAATAGTTTGATGGTTCTGACAAATTTATGATGGCTCACGACTATTAACCTCGAGTTTGTCGAGTTACTTCTGACTCACCCACACGATGTTTTTATTTTTTTCGACATTCAAAATTATCCGGAAGTTCAAAAGTAATATCCGTATCTCGTATAAAATCAGCTTGATGCGATTATGGTATGCAGAAAATCAGGCCACTACTCAATATTACCTCAAGACATGTCTTAAGTTTTTCGCAAATATCTCCGGAACCTCTACATTTAGGCATACAGAATGTTATTCTAACTGATGTCATTCACTGATTTGATAATTCATCTGTAAAAATTTTGAAGGAAAATATGGCGGCATACGACTCTTACTACGCCACTGGTTGACTAAAGTCAAAAATGAAAACTCCCTGTGAAGTTTCAATTTTTTTGCTACAGGTGTTCTGGAGAAATTAGGAGTAATCTTAACTTTTTTCGTACTTTCGACACCCTATATCTCAGTGCGGATGCATTTTAGGACATACGTTGATAGGAACTTTTCACCTCAAATTGAGTTTGGAATCCGTGTATGAAGTTTATCGGTATTATTCTTACTCAACCTTTATATTCATTGGTGGTTGAGAAATATGATTGGTGATTATTGGTATATCACGTTAAAGCCGCTACGTTTCTGGAATCAAACATCACACGCGGGAAGAAATTGATACCTTTGCTCCCTTGATACTATTAATGATATTTCACCGCATCCAGAAGTGGATGGTTTTCAAAAAAAAAAGTTTCCAAATATTGCATCACTATAGAAAAATGTCCATTTTGTTATAAAACTGTTACCAATTACAAAAAGGACTTTTTGAGTGAAAATTATTGGTTAATATCAATTCGTTCCAGGTTGTAGATTATCACAATTCGATTGGTCTATATGAATGGCCTTGAAATTTTACCAAAAGGGATGAATTTCAGTTGATATTACATAATATTCATAGCACATTAATAACAAAACCAGGATAGTGATTCACAATTGAACTATTGACATGAAATTATACAAAATGTTGTTCTTTTTCACTTTGTGAATAACTAGCATATTTGCTTTGAATCTGGTATCAATTGATGTAATAACATACAATTCCAGAACAAGAATGTGCATCGATGAAAATGGCCAACCTGGATTTTCAAGGTACAATAATTCAAAAATGGCTACGAATATCAATATGGATGTTGAAATAAAAGTATTCATGTTTCGAGTTCACATCAAATGGCCAAAAAATATATGGGGTGTTCCATTTGAAAAATTTCGAAAAGTTCCGGATTGAAACATAATTTTCAGCCACCCTGTATAATTTGAGGGAATGGAAATTCTTCAGAAATATCACGCATCTTTCCATCGAATGATATTATGATTATTCTCTCACTTAAGTGTCATAATTGTGACCACAATGATTTTTCGGTATGCATCTGCAGATGACATTATTTCGACCAAAAAATTAATAACTGATATGATCGAGATATAGTCAACGATATTATAGGAGTCGATGGAGATCATAGGGATGCTTCAAAAATTGTGCTAATATACAGGGCATTCCATTCAAAAAAAGTGATCTAGACCCTCTAGATTTTTTCGGTGCGCCCAATCGAGCTTCGACGCATTAATGCCCCACCCTGTTTATACAGTGTGTCCCGCGTTTCATGAATACACCCTGATATCTCAGTTATCAATGGTGCGATTCTTTTGAAATTTTTGTAGGTGATTGTATGTTAGAAAAATAACATACAAACACCATCACAGTTTCGAGAAAATTTTGAAAGCATGAATTGGGGGTTTTTTGGAGATGCTGATTCTGAATCTGATGAAAACAGCTATTTCAAATAAGCCCTTATATCTTTTTTCTGAATAATTTCCTTTTTTGGACCCCTCAACATTGGACGCCAATGGTGAATGAAACTGTTCACTCTGCTTAATACTTTATTGTTCTAACATACAATCACCACTGAAATTTCAAGAGAAAAGCATCATTAATAAGTGCGATATCAGGGTGTATTCATGAAAAGAGGGACACACTGTATACAAAAACATGAACACGGAGAATCATCATCATCATCACCGAGCGTCAATCCCGCGAAGATCGCATCCCATGTTGCCGCGTTAGTCTATTATTTTCAATGCACGAACAATCGGGAATTGTGAGTTTTCAAAAGAGATCCTTTATTTAGATTCAGGCTTCCAGTGCGAGCATCTCCGATGCCTTGTGCACCAGTTACTAGTCCTACAAGACCTAGCTTCTTACCGATATCTGAGCCGATACCTGTACCTACTCAACGACAGGCCTTCGAAAAGATATACACCGAAACGCAATTACAGAAAAGGGATAAAGAAGATCCTCCTTCTCCATCACAGGTTTGTTGATGTTAATGAAATTGAATCAAGATATACTTCATTGTCTCGACATACCATAAAAGACTTTGTAAAAACATAGTACAAATGGAATAAATAGAGTACAGAATATGAAAGTATGCATGAAGTCAGAAAAATCACCTGGTACCTAATCAAAATTTGTCCTCATACTCTTCCTGAATGTATCAAGTTTTCAGAAGCAGTTGTTCTTTAACAGATTTATGAAATAATTTTAAGTTTGTGTCTTAAGAATATTGATTCTGACACTTTACTCTACTGACCTACTTTTTCATAACTAATTTGTGGATTTCTCAAATGAAAATTTGAATCTAGACACTGTATTTAGTCGCAGAATAAAATTGAACAGTCATTATCGGAAAATTAATGGTAATCTCACTTATTCGCTACCATTTGTTTATCGTCGATCATAGTGATTGTATTTTATATTTGTCTGTATTCAGTATTCAGTTCCCTTCCAATAATATTGCCGTTTTTTCGTTGATCGATTTACTTGATAAGTTCCATCCAGCGAAGATACGATTCAAAATGACTACAAGATTGAATGAGGATCGTCTAGTTGTCACTTGAAGGTCGTTGTGTCTCACTTTTAAGATGATTTCAAACCCTCTCCCTGTATGCGCGATCTAGTAGAGTACCTTGAGCTCTTTGGTTAGCGAAAAATATGGTACATCTCCGATCTAGACATCACATTTGGATTCTGTTTTAATTGTGTGAAAATTATTCATCCCATTTATTTTAAGGGGAACAGAAGATATTCACATTTTTTCTTCTCGGTAATTGAAAAATATCCATCTAGTTAATCGAATTTTGAATCAGTTGTTCAATTTTGTAACGACTGAGTTTGTAGCGGTTTTTGATGTGTGTTATCACATCGATTAAATTGAAAATACTGTCGACGTCTTCATGACTATGAATATGAAGCAAACGAATAATGTCCGACAATTTAGTTTTCTATAATCTATAAGTTTGAACAAATCATAGCATAGGTTTCGGGATGCATGGCAGTCACCAAGGAAATAGTGTTTTTTTCGTCAATCACCATTGTTTTTCATTTTATTTAATTTTTGTGGAAATAACTTTGAGTTTTTCTTCACTGATATCATTTCTTTCCACGAGCATTTTCGCTGTAGTTCAATACAATTATATCATTTAATGCTTCCCAAAATAGTGCATGATCTACAAGTAAATGGCCGAACTTGCAGGATATATTCAAAGATTAGATGGATGCATTAATGATTAATCATCAATGCTTTTCCGAATGTTAGCTGAAATACTTTGATGATTTCAGATGAGTACTAGTGGCAGTGGTAGTGTACCACGATCACAGCCGATTACTATGAAGAAAAGACCAGAACGGCAGAAATCTGATATTGATATCAGTTCTATGTCACCACCATCAGTAAGTATAAATTTGATACGTGCAATGAGGGCTAACATATTTTGATAGTTCACCAGATCGCCCTACTGAAACGTGAGGTCAAGGTTGTTTAATAGGTATACTTCTTTCTTCACTCCATTTGGCCTCTTCCATATCATATATCTTCACTTAAAGTTCCGCATAGGAATCAATGAAATGAAATGTTGTATTTGTTCGCATAGGACACACCATTTTTCTGCAAATTTTCGAGAAGCCAGGCAATATCATTTAGGACTATGCAAAAAAATTTTGATAATATTGATATTGACATAGACCATAACCTTTAGAAGAGCTAACTAGTGAGATAGAAAATGTTAGCCTTCATTGACCTAAATAACATAATGATTTTGATCTTCCACACCCTTCACAAGAGATTGTCTGAACAAAATTTCGCGAGTATAACATCAATGGGCTACTGGCCTGATTGTGGAATAATTGGCATTCAATAACTCCACAGTACAGAGAGCCAATTATATAATTGTTCATTTTTGACTTTCTCGAGCAACCAGCTTGACAATATATTTCTTATATTCCATAATAAAACATCATGTAAATGTTGGCTGGGACTTGGCAACATGTGCTGAATGCCGAGAACTGACAACGTGTTCATTGTAAAAAAATGGTAAGTCATGCGGGTCCTGACAGGCCGACAACATTCATCTGCACCACTACTTAGAGCGCACTCCGGCGATTTTACTAAATATACTGTACGCTAGCACAAACCACGCCCACCGTAATATCTCATCTTCGAAGTACTTAGGCAAAACTCAGAGACTATTTTTATCCTTAACGAACTAACCTATCCCTGATTGCAATAGTTTTGAGGAAGGAAAACCGAATGGAGTGTAGAAACACATTGATTAATAATATATTTCAAAAGTTGAGTTATTCAACAAAATTGAATAAAATGAGACTGTTTATCCTAAACGCACTAACCTATTTGACTTCAAATATTTTATGAAAAAGGAAAACCAGAATGAAGTAAAAAAACATTGGTGAAAAAAAAGTTGCAAAAAAAAGTTCAAGTTCACAGCGATTCGAACCATGGACCTTCAGACTGAAAGTCGACAGCGCTAACCAGTAAACCATTTGGGTATATGAATTTACTGCGCACAAGAGATTGACAACGAGAGAGCTTCAGTCGAATTCGTGTCAAAATCATAAAAAGTGTATTCTTGCGTTGGAGCACAGTATAATTAGTGCGATGTGCTGACTCCGAGTATATCGGTAATGTTTGGAGATATTATGACGTATTATGGTGGGCGTGGTTTGTGCTAGCGTGCAGTATATTTAGTAAAATCGCCTCCGAGCATCACCCCAAATAGTCCCGTTTCATTGTCGAACCCTGTACAAGTGATTGACCACTTCGGATACAGTGTATTGGTTCAGTTGCGTTTTGTATGTGTATTGTTTTTCAATAAAATTTGTCAAGAAATTATTTTTTAAAGGTTCAGTTTGTAATCGGTACACCACCAGGTGGAAGAAGACGGTCCACTTCTGGTAGCCTTTGTGAGACACCGCCTCCCCCAAGTATATGGACTGTTTCACCAGTATCCACTTCCAAGACCATGCCGACTAATTCACCTCTCAGAAGATCAGGTTAGTGATAGTTCATCAACTTGTTTTAGCGTGATGTACCGATATTCGGAAATTGTCTTACAGCTAATGGATTTCGAAACTCGTATCGTTTTTCGATAAGTTCTGACTTATTTGGACTCCTAACCTTCGTTCACTCTCTCTCCCTTATTCCGCTTAAGTATTTAAATATTGTAAATATTCATGTCTCTAATTTTGATATAACCTCCTCTGGACCTGAGTTAAAAATACATCACTAGCTGAAATGTATCGATTTTGACAAGAAGTTCAAAAGATGCTTATTTTGACATCATCAATGACATTTACATCAATTCATAAGATCTGCCTGATGAAGTTGATTTTTGTGTTTTCTTAGATCTCTGTTCATGGCATGATGTTTACAAAAAAAGTTTCAGGAAATAAATATGTTCCGCAGGTTGAGAAAAGACAAATGAACTGGACTCAAGTGTCAAAAGAAAGTCATCTGATGAAAGTAAGTTTTCAAACTCTTGCCAACAGATGGGATTACGCTATTCGGATGCAAATATTCCTCACTTTTATAATCCACTTTGAAATTATTCGTTCAATTGACTTTGTAAATGATTATCCTTGGCGCTTTTTCGATTTCAATATTTTCGGCCTACAATACTGACCTGTTTAACATGTTCCCTGACAAGAATGAGGCTAATGGGTTTGTAACTTTCTTTCTCATGATTTTTACGCCATTGATTTAGTTGAAAAATGACAGAATTCTCGACTGAGCTGAAATAAACAGTTCTTCAGATATTTAACTCAAACTAAAAGTTTACATCTTAAATGGTGTGTTTTTCCATTCTGCATGCAATAACTATTTCTGTTCAGATGTTAGATAGCGGAATGTATGAGGTGTTCAGTAATTGTTCATACTATATGAATTCTGATTGAGAGAGTTTGAGTTATTTTACTAAAAATCAATCGAGGTATGATTTGGTATCGGTATTGGTAGGTGTGGATGGTGAAAGATGCGCTGCGTCCTGATTAGATCTATTGTGTCCCATCATCTTCTGGTATCTCAAGGTTCTCTTGTTTATAGCAGCCTCTCAAGCTTCAGTTCTTTCGGGAATCTGAGGATTTTGAGAGGATCTGTTTGTGGTATTCCTCCCACAATTAGCTGGTATGGTCGCAGTACATTCGATCTTTTGTAATGTACAGCATAACACTCCAGCAAGATGTGGTGGGTTGTTCCTAGATATTCCCTGCAGAAGCTGCAGGTGCTCTCCGACTCTAAACCCAATATACTTCTCTCTCTCTCGAGTCTACAATGCCTCGTAAATAATCCTCTTAGGTAAATCAGTGTCTTCGATCCTGCTGTAGATCTTTGGCCTGCCGCAGTCCTGAAAGTCTTCGCTAGTGTGTTGCTCTCATCGCTTCATCAGCTTCTTCTTGGAAATGAGAATTTCCAAGGCCGCAAAATGCTTTTGGTCCGATCAGTGGTGTTGAGGCTCTTTTTCGTGCATTTCCCTTCCCGTGTCCCGGCATATAGAAGAGGATTACCTTGTTGTTACTGGCTAGATTGTTGAGTTTGTCTAGGCATTCCCTAACCAAAGAGCTCAACGCTTTGATGGCTAATAGACTGTCGGAGAGGATAGCGTTTTGATTTCCTATGATTTCCTTAGCAGTTTGCAAGTTTTTCGTACTCCACTGAATGATAATGTATTATGTAATATTTCGGGAGCTGCATCACAAGTTAATGTCATTACCACCGGCCGGTGCACTTTTGGTTACAAAAACGAACACTATATCTCCGCTGCACGAGAAGCGAGAGAAAAAAAGAGGTGTTTATCATACGACGATATTATTTATTTATTTATTTATTTAGGTTTACGCCACCCTTACAGCTGATGCCTTAAGCAGGGTGGGGAAAATACAGTGAGCACAAATTACAATATAATGATTGGAATGGTACAAAAAAGAAAACAAGAAGAATTGGTGAGACTTGCAACAACTATGCATGTGAACTGAAAAAAAAAACTTCAAAAGTTCACATGCAGAGTTGCATGAATAGATGAAAACCGAAGTGAGTTATGACAAAATCACTTCCTTGATTTCGCCTAATGATGTGTAGAAAATGTCTATCTCATTCTAGTATCTCATATAGTTAACACAAATTTGATGTACAGGAGAAAACATGCCATTCGCCTGGTGGGTGACGCCACACTTACTCACTCTTTGACATCATTGGAACACCGTAGAAAGGTCGGCGACCTTTCACTTTTCTATCGATACTTCCACGGGAAATGTTCTTCGGAAATCTCTGCTATCATCCCTTCACTAGCAATACCAATCAGACGAACTAGACAAGCCCAGTCAACACATCCTTTCGTTGTCAACCTCGAAAGATGTCGAACAGCACTTTATCAAGACTCCTTTATTCATAGAACGGCTAGGCTCTGGAATTCATTGCCTGTGCAATGACGGCTAAATGGACTGTCTGACGAGTACTACATGACTGTCCAATCACTCAGTTCAGTATATTCTCCACCAGAGGGGTTTACTTGCCGTCCTTTGCGGAGAAGTCATTTGTTTAGCTCTTATTCGGTTGTTTTCCAATAACATAGGTTATATTGAATTATTATTATCAAGTGTCAAAACTGTGTCACTGTCAGGTCCCTGATGTGTTTTGTTGAATATCGATAAATTCCTTTACTTTTTCGGATTTTCATTCAATCAAGCATTCTTCTTTGTGTTTAGTTCTGGTAGTTTATTTATTCAGGTTTGCTAGTTGTGTCTTCATCATGTATTTACAGCCTTCTAGCGTATGAAATAAAATGTATGAATAATCGTATCAAATATGGGGTTTGCTTTTTCGAATCTCATACCCAGTGATAAACTCCACAGCAAGAATGGTCGAATTTTATTTTGGAAGGCATTGGTAAGAATATGATTTTTCATGTACACTTTTGTGATGATTTTCAATTTCAGCCTCGATTCCACCATTAGATGGTGTTAATTCTGGTGTTGAAGTTTGTGTCAATATGATTTTGGAAGACACTATAGAATGATGATCAATAGCACTACATATGGCGACTTATCAGGATGGGGACATACATTCAGAAAGGATCACTTACCATAATTTTCAAGGTATGTTTAGTCTGCATTGTTGTTGCATAGCTAGGTAGGGTAGGAGTAGTATTGTTGAAAACTGTTTCATGTGAGCCTGATGGTTCAAGCCATCAATGCAACGTATTCAAACTTTAATTACCATATACGTACAGGATGGGTATCCCAAAAAGGAACACCAAGAATGAAAGAGGAATGGAATTTAAGGTATGCTCTTTGAATCCCAGAGAATCATCAGTCTAGGCCAACATCTGGAGTTTTTTCGAGTGCCACAACTACAATTTGAGGTATTTTGTGTTCCTGCTTCCTGGCAAATATCACAGAATAATGATACTATCAGAGATTTTCAAAAATGTTTTTCACTGCTGTGATGATTTTGTCACAAAAAATTCAAATTAATTATTTGGCCTAAGTTTATGTATTATGTATGCCCATCTATCAATGAGATCCTGTAAGCTTTCTTGTTTTCTTGATAGAAGTATGAGATGGTATGTGATATATATGTAAGGTAAAATGTTGTCACTGATACTAGCCCACTAACTATAGCTTCCCCAAGTAGATTTTAAAGGATGAAAAGAGTGCAAACTCAACTTTTGAAATGCATATAACTATTTCTGTCTCCACAAAGTTTTGAAAATGGTTGAAAAATATGGATTGATAGATAGATGATATGTATAGAAAGCATTTATTCAAGTAATATAATAATTTTATTCCATAGCATAGACAGTCACCATAATAAACAATTTCCTTTTCCATTAAATTAGCTGATGATGAGCTTATATTTGAACTCAAAACATGCTTCTTCTCTGCTGATTTCTGAACAGATAATAGAAATTGTGGGATACACAATAATATATCATCTTTTATTTCCAGTGTCCAAAGGAATTCCAGGTAACCTAGCTTCATCCTCCAAAGTCAAGATCCCATATCCAAGCCGTTTTATATTCATTGTGTTGCCATCCCCAGAACATATAAAGAAATGTTGCTATAGAACATCTAATGATTCTGAAGCTGGCATAGTTCTATCAATTTTGCAATACAATTTATCTGTATATCTGATATGAAATATATAAGTATGAAATGATAAATTGATATTTAATTTGCTATTCATGGAGATAACTGATATTGTAGTTAAAATGCCTGATTATTTTTCTGAACCCTCACCTAATTAAACAATTGTTCACAAAGCTCACCTTATATAGTAAATATTCTGGTTATGCATAGATAGCTTCATCATTCAATCGAACATGAAGAGCTGCTTCAACATTGTGTTGAGAAAATTCAGTATCTTCCTGAAAATACAAATTAAGAAATATCACTTGAGATCACAGATTTTGTGAAACAATATGAAATGTTGCAGTACATTTCACTTTGAGAATACAGCAGTATCTGGTTATTAGGGCTACCATGGCTCTTATTAGGCAGTTCAAAATTCAATCAATGAAATAATTGAAGATGTCCTTACCTATTCACGAATTGACGAAGATGATTTCCACTTGAATGGCATTATTATTTATGCATATAATAGCGTTATTTGGCATGAACACTCCTAACCACTTCATTTTGTTGGCCTTTTCACAGTTTTACTTGGTATCTCAAAGTTCTCCAATCTCGAGTGACAATGAGTGACAGGCTGACAGTAAGAAAATTTGTCAACAAATAATGCAGGATCATGAATGCAGGTTATGTTGAATAACTCATTTGACACCAGGAAATAGATGACGCCACTTGCCGTCCCTTCAAAATTTCATTACAGGGCGATTTGGCGATTTTCGCTGAATGAACAGTCATGTATAACCCGTCAGACAGTCCATTTAGCCGTCATTGGCCTGTGGAAGTATTCCCAACAACATATAATCTCCAAACGTTCAAGAAGAATTCCAATACCTACCTCCTGTCCCTATCCTCCCTAGGAACGCACGATGTTCTTTGAACATTATAGGGATTCCCTTTCGTGCGCTCCAAGCGATAAAAAAAAATAAAACATGTTATACGATCGTGCAGACCCTCTAGGTACATGGATATTCAGTAAAGAGAGTAAGTGGGGAGAATCTAGTTTGCTATTGAGGAGTTGAAAAGAAAAATTATGCTGTGACATGTACGACGTGTCTGCAACGAGTTAGTACCGAAACGTTCCAGTAATGATTCCTGAGGAATACCTCGTGCAGGATACTCCCCATCTACTCTAAAACATATTGCTTTGAGAAAACGTCTCTGTACATTCTCGATATTATTCAAGTGGACATTATAGCCTGGAGACCAAATAATGGAGGCGTATTCAAGTTTAGTTCTCACAAATGCGTCAAACAGGAGCTTGAGAGTATTAGGGTTAGTGAACTGCTTGGAATTCCTGATCACAAAGCCAAGAGTTTTATAAGCAGACGAAACAATATCGGAAGTATGTTCAACGAATGTTAATTTAGTGTCAAATTTGACTCCTAAGTCAGTGAAGTTGGTGCGCCTCTCAAGCTTGGTGCCATCAATCTCGTAATCAAAAATAACTGGTTGTTTCTTCCGCGTGAAAGATACAATGTTGCATTTTCCTATGTATGAAGTAAGAAGATTGAACTCTCACCAATTATGAAGAATTCTCAGATCTTCTTGCAGTTTCTAGCTGTCAGTTGGGTTTTCGATTTGGCCATATAATTTACAGTCATCCGCGTATAGTAAAAGATTACAATTCAGTTTAAGTCCGATGTCATTAACAAATATTATAAATAAACAAGGGGCCCAAAACAGAGCCTTGCGGGACACCGGAAGTTGCTACTAAGGCTTCTCAATCCTTCTCCTTCTTCTTATCAGATGACTGTCGAAATTTGCAGCTGGCTCCCCAAGCATTCATTGTGGGTCAAATATCTTATTATTATTATTATTATTATTTTCTTTTTTTTTTCAGGAACTTCACCTCCCATATTGAGTGGTCCACTTGCCAGGGTGCCGATGCTGAGCAGCCCCAATCTCAACGACAACAACAATTTGGGTCGATCACCGGTAATACCTTTCTGTACTCGCGCGGTAACGTTACCTGAAATTTCAGAATTGGATAACTATCCGACGTTCTTCAACGAAACGTCCACTACCAACGACGCCCATCCAATAACATTTCTCGCGCCAGAATTGCCTGAAGAAACGTTGTTAGAGGTAAGAAATCATACGTTTTCCCATAGTCCTGGTAATACACCTGTGAAGAGAGAATTCACTAGAAATAGTATTACATAACTAGTATGGAAATTGACATTTTTTGCACGACGCCACGTAGCGGCGAGTGCGTAAATGTAACGAGTGCATGAAATACACTTTTGAAGGGAAAGTCCTATTCTCGAACCAGATGGAAGAAAACTGATGTCGGTGCCTGAGGGTCGATTCTCATGAAAAATTCAATGGTGAAAACCGCATATCGATATCTGTCTTCGTTTCGGAGTTAAAAGGTGTTTTGCGAAATTGGGCATTTTTGAAAAGTGGCTTTTTAATTTTTTTTTGGCAAAAATTCTGTTCCCATGAAAATAACTGCAAAGCATTGAGTTTGTGATAAAAATAATTCTCGAGGCACTGAAATTCGGCCCACCTATATCTAGTTCAAGAATATAACTTGTTCTTCTTAAAGGAAAGGTTCCATTTTGCAACTAGGTATATGGTGACTGATTTTAGTGCCTGACATTTTCATGACAAACACAATGCTTTGGAAATGTTTCCATAAAAACGATGATTTTTTTCCAAAAAAAAGAGTTTTAGCCACTTATCGATATGCGGATTTCACCATTAAGTACGGGAATGGAATATTTTTCCTACGACCATAAATATTTAATTTAAACCAAAAAACCCAAATACCCAGGTAGCACATGGCGACTATATGACGTCTAAAACACGGCATCACATTCGACCAAATGACGTCTTTTATACTATTCAAACTGACGTCTAAATGACGTAGGTAAGTCACAGCTAAATGACGTAACTTTGTAGGTCTTCTGGACGTCAATGCGGTGTTCAATTATGACTTGAAAGTGACATTATTGACTAGCTTTGGACGTCGTAACGACGTCTATATTCTTAGAAAAATATGCCCAAACTTCTCGTTCTGTTCTAATCATCTTCTCAATGAGGATCAATGTAATAAAAGGAAACCTAGTTTTTAAATGATATTTTCATACATTTCAGAAATAAAAATTATTCAGAGCTCTAATAACCCACTCCAATTCAGACCATTTGAAACAAATGAGTATTTTTATGTCCACGAATATATTTGGAATTAACAAAGTTCACTTCATTTCACCAAAACACTCGATGTGATAACAAGAAATGTTCGATGATTTCATGAAGATGTCGATGGGTTCACTGTCACAAGTCAAGTTTATAGTTTCGACTGGCAGTCAAAACACTTCTGTCTTCTGTGTATCATCGATTTGGATAACAGAATACATCACAAAAAGATAAATAATCAGAGTAACAAAACAAGACACCAGAACATAATATTGAATGAGGAACCATCCCGTCAATCGAACCGCACAAAGGAACAACAAAACAAACAAAATTCTATTAGAGAGGGCGCGATGGCCGACGCGGCGATACATGCCGATGACCCGCCGTGTTGCCAGGTTTCAAACACACATAGTAGAGTAGATCTCCAGTAGATCTTCGGTGGCGAAAGCCGTATTATCTATCATTGATCATTCCTGAGCTCTCCAGATATATGGTAGACTCAATATTGATGGCTTTCTCCATCACTTTGGAGATTACTGATAACAGGGCAATGGGCCTGTAGTTGTTGGGCAGGTTCTTGTTCCCTTTTTTGGGGATTGGTTGGACTCTAGCTGTCTTCCAGCATGATGGAAAAATACCCGACCTGTACGAGACGGTAAACAACTTGCAGAGAATCGGTGTTAATTTTGGTGCACATTCAACCCCTGTATAGATCGCACAAACTAATGAAGATATACCGTGTATATCGTTTCGTTCGTCTTCCAGAAGGAGCACAACGAGACCCTCGCCAAGATCAACTTCGTGCTCGCCCTCAGCACGTGCGTGCTGGACCTGGCCGGGCAGCGGGTTGCCCCTCCTCTGGCCGCCCTTGTCGACGCCGCCCAGCTGCACCAGCCGACCAACGAGACGGCTCGCCGGGCGGAGCAGCTGGTGCTGATGGTGAGGGCGCTGCAGCTGCTCAGCTCGGGGCTGTCGTTGGCCACGCGGCAGCTGAAGGCGGGGCAGTTGAGGCCCAGCACCAGCGTCAAGAACGGTGAGTGGTTAGTTGATTTCAACAATGGGGAAGTTTCATTCAGATGTTCATGAAATAGGGCATCGCCTTAGCTTCTCAGGTAAGGCACTAGCCGTTCGATATCTGGTAATATCTTTATTAATGATTGTGATAGTTTCGTTACAGAAAAGTCACTCTCAATCTGACATGTCTCTCACATTATCAAATATAGGGCGTTACAATTATTATTCCAACACCTCCCCTCCTTGAAAAAAAAATTAAGAATGTCAATATTAAACAAAGTGCACCATCCTATCATCAGGACGATTTTCTTGGACTAAAATCCTATGAGGAAGTGGAACAATATTCATCAAATTGAAAGTGTTCAATATAATTTTCTCCGATTCTCTCAATTTAATAACACTCAGCAGAAACAAAAAAAGTGACAAAATCAAAACAACAATATATACCTATATGCCTTATAAACATTGATTTTTTATATTTATCTAACATTAGGGACAATGATATGTCAAAGATCCAATGGATAAACTTTTATATACACCTAATAACTATACTTATATTAAACTCATGGTACATATACCATATAGTAGATATAATGGTAATCATAATTGCAAGATTCTTAAGATCAGTATCTAGGTACCTATGCCATCTAGGATTCCTCCGATGGTGACAAGGTTCCTATACGTACAGCAGTATTCATAACAATTAGTGTATTTCATTGTATTTTATTGTATTGTATATTGTATCCTATCACTTTGGCTGCCGAAACAACCCTCATAAGCCTTCGAAGGGCTTGTGAACGTTAAAGTGAAAGAGGACTTACATTTTATAGTGGATTTAGAACCACATGTAGGGAGCTGAAATGCTACCACGAACCAATTTCTCATTGAAAAATCTATCTTCGTTTTCTTGAAATTCTGCTAAATTTCTTATGTATTTGATATCAACGATATCTGTGGGAAGATTGTATTTTGTAACGAAATTATCTGGACCTGGCCGGGCAGCGGGCCGCCCCGCCCCCGTCAAGAACGGTGGGTGGTCATGTTAAGGACACTTGCAACAAGATTTATCTTTTGATATATGATGCCATGAAATACAGTTCTCAACACAATGAATGGACCACTCATAATTTGACTCTATTTTGAAGACCTGAAAAAATTGACCGATCTTCATGCGGTTTTCGAAATCAGATGTGATGTTTCATCGGCTTCAAAGAGAGCTAGATCACTCTGAAAAAGTCCGCAGAACAAAACTTACACAGGGTGTAAAGTGGAACCATTACACTATGGTCTACATTCCCAATGCTGCCAGAACTGGAGAAATGTTTTTCTGATCAAAAGTCAGTCATATTATGATACACTGTGACCTCATCTCGGGACGTTTTCTCTAGAACTCCATTTGAGCTGGCTATTGGGATGAACTGTTCTCAAGTTTTGTGGAGGACAATGAAAGACGAAAAAAGCACTATTGTGGAATATACAGGATGATGAGAGAATAGGACAAAATCTCATTTCAGTAAAAAAAAACAAAAATGGTGACTAAAACCATGGCTCATTCGATTCATTATATTCAGAAACGGCCTTCTCGGTACCCATTATTTATATTAGACTATTAACTCCAGACGTTTTCGAAAATTCGCCTCTAATTGAAATACAGGTTGAAAATTTTCAATTCAAACTTGTTTCCTGATATCGAAGATTCTTATCAACTGATTTCCAATATTTATTGCCCAAATATGAGACACAGAGTATTGTTGTTCAATATACTGAGTGTTTTACAACTTATCTGACGAATTTCAACCACAACTACGATATTACATAAGAAGTCTATCACAAAAAAATTTATAGAAGTAAAACGAGATGGAAAATATGATTTGTAACACTTTATATCCACTGAAACTATTCGAAAAGGGCCTATTGGCGAAATATGATATTAGTGAATTCTTCAGCATTATGAAGATCCAACTAGAAAGTCGTATATCCTAAATTTCAGTACTTGGTAGGCCTCCCCGATTTAACAAAACCTCATGAAATCGGTTTGGCATAGATTCTATGAGGTTGTTGATGAAGTCTATTGATATTGCCTCCCATTCTTCTGATACAGCTTGGATAAGGTTGTCATCATTTTGGGGTGCCTCGCCATCTCGATAGGTTAAGTTTCATTCGGCTCCACACATGTTCAATCAAATTCAAATCTGGAGATGATGCTGGTCACCACATTCTTCTAACATTATTGTTTTCTAGAGTTCGTAATTTGTCAGATAAGTTGTGAAACATTCAGTATATTGAACAACAATACTCTGTGTCTGATACTTGGTCAATAAATATTGGGAATCAGTTGATAAAATGATGAGAATCATCGATATCAGGAAACAAGTTTCGATTGAAAATTTTCATCCTGTATTTATAGGCGAATTTTCGAAAACTCTTCGAGTTAATAGTGTAATAAAAATAATGGATATCGAGAAGGCCGTTTCTGAATATACTGAATCGAATGGGCCATGGTTTTAGTCACCATTTTTGTTTTTTTAACTGAAATGAGATTTTGTCCTATTTTCTTATCATCCTGTATATTCCAAAAAATCGCTTTTTTCGTCTTTCATTGTCCTCGACAAAACATGAGAATAGTTCTTCCCAATAGTCAGCTCAAATGGAGTTCTAGAGAAAAAAATCAAGAAATGCAAGACTTTCGAAAACAAATCGAATTTTCGTTCCAATGATCAATTAAGGAGAAATCACGAAAACGTCCCGAGATGAGGTCCCAGTGTATCATAATATGACTGACTTTTGATCAGAAAAAAATTCTGGTCTGGTGGTGGTGGAGTTCTGGCAGCATTGGAAATGTAGACCTTAGTGTAATACTATACTATACACCCTGTGTAAGTTTTGTTCTGCGAACTCTTTCAAAGTGTTCTAGCTCTCTTTGAAACCGATAAAACATCACATCTGATATCGAAAACCGCATGAAGATCGGTCAATTTTTTCAAAAAATACAGGTCTTCGAAATAGAGTCAAATTATGAGTGGTCCATTTAGTGTGTTGAGAACTGTAATCTTTGAATATGTCAAAATAAAGATTTAATTTCATTTTTTATGGTAAAAACTTGTTGAACCTTATAATGAATACCTTGGGAGGCTTCAACAATTGAAGAAATGAGTAATTCAATAAAAAAATCGATAATCTCAAGATTCCTAGACAACACTATCTCCCAAGCATGAAAATAAGAAAGTGTCAAATAGAGGACACTGAACTCGGTCAGACGGGCCCATGTGGAAACAGATGTGCACAACTGCTCACTTCTCCCCTAGGTGTCTAATTTACTATTATATACAACCATATATGTAATGTTGTCATTACTAACGTCATTGAAGGTTGAAGGTCCTCACTCATGTAATAATTCAGGTATGTTCAGAACGAAACATTTATTAATTTTGATCGAAATATGATGTTTGTAAATAAAATAGTATACAAACCTCGGTAGGGAGTTTCATTCCTGTCTCGAGATTATAGCTAACCTCGAAGCTTTGCGTCTTGGTTAACTAACTAATCTCACGACAGGAATGAATCACTTTCCACCTATTTCGCAAAGAGCCTGTCAAAAAATGGTCGCCAGTTGAATAATAATAGTTAGACATGATTATGTCATTTTGCCAACATATCTTATTCCCATATACAATATATCATTCTAGTTACCAAAACTTTGCGATTGTAATTATCTGAATCACCTGAGGTCTTTAGATTAATTCACGCCCGATCATAGACACCTAGATGCAATATTAATAGTGACAAAAACGAATTAAGTTGGCGTAAAAACTTTTGAAAATGCCACCCTCTCATCTAGAATTGTCTCAGATATCCAAAAATTCCATACAGGGTGTTCCATTTGAAAATTCAAAATCGGAAACATTTTCGGTGAAACAGGAAGTAATCGGAAAGTGAAAAATATGTGAAAACTCTTCTCTTCAAATACCATAATAGATTCCGACTTACCAATTTTGTTAATCTGGTGGGTTCATAGGAAAACTGGAGAGAAGAAGAGCAAATTTGTGCAGTGATGATGGATTGAATCATCAACTGTTTTTTTATTGAACTGCTGGGCATGAAAACCTTATAGAGAAACATGACACGTGTTTTTTTTTGTTGAAGAAAATTGTTAACGAGATGTCTTGTTTCAGTTGTCACAACTTTGAATACGAAATTCAGAGCTACCCTTCAAGAATGTAAGCAGCTCAATAACACTGGACTTTTGAATAAAGTTGGCACCACTACTGCAACGGCCGACAAGATTTTATATAATCATGCAATTCAGATGGTAAATAACGTTTTTTGCCATAATATTGGATAGATTTTCTTCAGATTCGTTTTTTCAGTGTCAATCAGCAGCTTTAGATGAGTTATTCGGCAACCCTGAAGAGTGTTTCCAAAGGTATCAGACCGCTCAGATCCTCTTACATAGTTTATCGCAGCAAGTGCAGAACCAGAAGGATAAAATGCTGCTTACCAAATGTAAGTTTCTTGAGAATATTTTATTCAGTTGAAGAGGACTACACCAACTGTGGAAACACATAATTTCACTATTAATTATTCCAGATTTATTGGGATTTTCTCTCCTCGTTTCTAAAGAGAAGAGAAAATCCCAGAAAATCTGGGATAATGCATATACTCGAATAACCTACAGACAGTATTAACCTAATTTCTGACTAAACCAGACTTTTTTTTCTATCATGACTTTGATATTTTTCAACTACGAAATAGCCACAATGCTCAAAGTGGAATGAAATGGTAAATAAATACAAAATGCTCAAAGTCATTTCCACACAATGTTCATAAAATGAACTACATTGGTAGATTTTGGGAGAAAAACTACTTCCCTGGCTAATGCCACACAGATCATTGAATTACATCCTCCAGAAATCTATGCATCGACTGGTATAAACGGATACTGATACGAGTGATTCTTTCCTGAATGCCTATTGATTTCGATTTAGCCAGGCCGCTAGACAACCACAGACCGGTTTCGAGCTCTTTGATTCTCATCAGTGCAGTGTAGTCTCTAGCCAGCAGTCCTAAGACCACCGACTCAGCGAGGCCTGGCCAATCAAAAATCAAGTCGGCATTATATTCACCCCGAGACGTCTTTCATCGACAAAATGAAAGTAACGCCATCTGAGTAGAACAGAGGAAAGAATCACTCCAAAACTAAAATTCCCATACGGGAGTGGCAGGACATTGTTTTTCTCCCGAAATCTACCATTGTTGTTCATTTTATGAACATTGTGTGGAAATGACTGAGCATTTGTATTTATTAACCATTTCATTCCACTTTGAGCATTAAGGCGATTTCGTAGTTGAAATTACGCCAGTCGGGCAACCAGCAACTCCCGTATGGGAATTTCAGTTTTGGAGTGATTCTTTCCTCTGTTCTGCTCAGATGGCGTTACTTTCATTTTGTCGATGAAAGACGCCTCGGGGTGAATATAATGCCGACTTGATTTTTGTTTGGCTAGACTTCGCTGAGTCGGCGGTCTTAGGACTGCTGGCTGGAGACTACACTGCACTGATGAGAGTCAAAGAGCTCGAAACCAGTCTGTGGTTGTCTAGCGGCCTGGCTAAATCGAAATCAATAGGCATTCAGGAAAGAATCACTTGTATCAGTATTCGTTTATATGAGTCGATGCATAAATTTCGGGAGGATGTAATTCAATGTCGTGCGTGGCATTAGCCAGGGAAGTAGTTGTTTTTCTCCCGAAATCTACCATTGTTCATTTTTTGAACATTGTGTGGAAATGACTGAGCATTTTGTACTTATTCGATATTTTTTTTGTTTAGTCGCCAATGTTGTTTTTTTTGTAGCTATCACAGCAGCTTTTTCAAATGGATCACCCTGTATGTAAATATTTTTTCGGGTAGCTTTCCTTTCAAATTACATTGATATTTAGTTTGGCGTGTCTTTGACTGGTTGTAGACATATAAGATAAAATAATAATTGTAATGTCTGAGTTCAATTCGTTAAGTTGTGAGAAAACTAATTAAAGGTGTTGAAATAGTAGACCTCCATCTGCTTGCCAATAACCTAACCTGTCAACGAATCCCCTGAAGGAAGAACCTTCTTAAAAATATATTTGATTATTTCAAAACTGCTTCAGGGGTTTCGTTGATAGGCTAGGTGTTTTGTAACAAGTAAACGAGTCAAACTCAAATACCAGACATCTTTTATTAATTAACATTTCATCTTACAACGACCAATCACATACACTTTATATCAACAAGTTAGAAGAATAGCATTTCGAAAAACTATTTTACACACAGGGCAATCCATTTGAAATAACTGCTGTCGGCGCCATATTTACGACAATATGATAGCTATTAAAAATCAACATTGGCCACTGACTAGAACAGAAAACATGAAAGTGTTGAATGAAAAAAAAACTTATGTTTTGGTAATAAATTAGGTGTTTCCACACATATGCCCAACCCTGTATATTAACATATTTGGAGCTGTGGAGCGAAATATCAGAAAATTAATAAGTGAACGAGAAAATCTAGTTGTTAGTTTCATAAATAAATTATTAAAATATTACATTTTCCTCCATTGGATGATTAAACTTCATCCTCGGGAGTAAAAGTTGCACTTTCTTCCCTTGTTATACAATAGTTTATAATATAACAAGAGTTGTAAAACGCATATTACGCACGAAGTGGAGAAAGTTATCTCCACAAGTGCGTAATTGCTTCACAACTCGAGAAATGTACTATACTTTTCCTAAGAATATACTATACTTTCTTCAGGAGAGTACAGATATTGTGTTAAGACTCAACTGAAATTGAGAAATATCAACAGAAAATAATAATTTTCAGAAAATATGACTTTCCTGCTTTCAGTTTCGATTGATAAATTGATTTATTGATGAAAAGATAAGTACCTATCTAGATACTGACATTAACTAAAATTGACACATCGCCTAAGAAACAAAACAAAGTCATCTATCAACCTACTTAGTGATTGACCATTTCACCTATTAGAAAAAAATATTATTTTCTTCATTGATTCTGATTCAATTGAAATCTATAAAAAATATATATTTGCAGATAAGGAAGCTGTAGAAAAGCGACTATACGTCCTCCAACAACAAGGTTATATCTACGCTACAGATCTCAGCTAAATAAAATCGTAAGGTAACTAAATATTTAGTTCTAAGAAGTTGAATAATATTGTCAGTCTTTCTTGCTTTTCTCATAATATAAATTATATGCTGTAGTAGAATCTACTCATTCTTTTCTGATACATGTTTGACATAATGGAAATGTAGTTATTATAGAAATTGTTTATTCAATATTTAATATAATATTTACCTGGCATGCTGGTTTATGGAACAAACAATGTAAAGTACGGCTTAATTCTTTGCCAGTTAATTGGTGAAAAATTATCTTTGATAATAATGTTACCTGATGAAATTGAAAATGACTAAGAAGGGATTTGTTTTCAGTTGTTTACTAAATGATGTAATTACTGTAAATAGGCTGCGAAGAAGGATGAGTGTCTTTAAATAGAAAAGTGTGAGTTTAATTGGATGTTATTACATGAGTTCGAAAAAATCATAATAATTTCTCAAAAGTTATTTGAATTAATCGAAAAATGCTTGTCTTCTGTCAACATTTTCATATCATTTCTATTTGGCAGATATAATTCAATCTTCTTCTTCATATATAAATTCAAAATGTTCTATATCAATTTAGATTGTTCAATTTGACGTATACTGTAAAAATGATATATAATTTTCAAATTATCTGCATGACTTGTGCCACATTCTGTGTAAAATGGTCTATTTCGTGAATTTCGTCGCTGATTTGACGGCTTCATAGTGACGGGAAAAGTCAACTTACGTAATTCTGTTTTCAAAATCCCATCGTCACACAAAATGACGCGTTCCCTAATTGGTTACGTAAATATCCTTTCAGAAAGTAGAGTTTATACCAGAAAATACTCGACCCAATACCCTCTGAGTTGTACTTTCATACCATATATAGTTTAGTTAAATAAATACATCGGATCTGGAGCACCTGCTTATTTATGAAAATTAGAACTGTTCCTAATTCTCTTATCAACTAAATTATTATGTTGAATAGAATAGCGACCGTTGAATATGATTTTTGGTGTTAGGGGGAAATTCGGTCGAAATGTTGATGAAAACCAATTGTTAAATTGTCGACGTTTCGAATTTTTGTTGTTCCATCTTCAGGACAGTACAAAATCAAGAACATACATATTAACCCTTTGACTCACGGTGTCTACAATTGTGGACACTAACTTTCCAGTATCTGTGGTAACAACAACTCGCTTCGTTTCGCGTTTCTACAACACTGAAGACATTCGTTGATGTCACTACTCATATATAAGCCAGTTAGCGGTGACATCTGTTAGATACAAGTAGTAATATATACTGCAGCGTGCATCGTCCCAACTTCGTTTTACATTCCATCCAGGTAAGGTCTTATAAATTCTACAATTATATCGAAACTTTCTGGCAATCCAATCAGTGCTATGATATTTTTTAATCATTAATGATTCATCTTGATGCCTCCATATGTATTTTCGTGTAATATTCCGCCTAGGGATTGTGACTGGCCCCTAAAATCTCGTGTCTACAATTGTAGACGTTTGTGTTCAACGAACTGATTATCTGTTTGAAATATACACTGAGGATGATATTTCATGCTTTAGATATGGCACTCATAAATTCGTGGACAGAGTACAGAAAAGACTCGCAGCTTGGTCAATCAGTAAAAAAGAGTTATTACACATCAGAATGGAAAAAGAGTAGGTGCTTATCAAAAATGTCGAAAATGACTTTTCTAGAAAGAAGGTAGGGTAAAGAGGCTGTCAAAAAACGACGTCCCAGTTCAGTCGTGTCGCGGTGAGGCATCTTGTAGATGTACAGTTGGACAATGTGAATCACATACCAGAGCACACTGGAGTGTTCCTTCCTGGGAGATGTAAAAATGTTGGTTGGCAAGGGCAAGTCTCGATGGATTTGGGCCTTCAGAAAAATCGCAACAATTTCAAGACATTTCACAAAGTTTGATTTGGATTGAACAGTCCTTTCCATACTTGATTTCATGTAACCATTTTTTATTAATTTTTCAATAAATATGATTATGTTCCATTGACTACAAATGTCTACAATTGTAGACACTTTTTTTTCGTACTTCTAGGAGTGTTGATTCGAAAAAAATGTTTACATATATCATATTTTGAGGATATATGAACAAAAACTAAATTTTATCTCTTGAAACAAGAACTCATGAGTCAAAGGGTTAAAATGATATTTCAAAATGAGAGTTTTTGAAAAACGAAATAAATCATGTAGAATAACAATCGTTGAGAATAAAACACTTCTAACACTTCACATAAAACAACATGAAAATTTCTAAAAAAAAAACATCGCTGAGACGAAGTGAGTCTGAAACGAGATGTGACTGAGACGAAATGTAGCTAAGACGAAATGGACACGAAATTAGGCTGAGACGAACTGTGGCTGAGACGAGATGTGGCTAATTTCGTGTCCATTTCGTCTCAGCCACATCTCGTTTCAGCCTCATTTCTTATAAACCACATTTTGTCTCAGCCACATATAAAGGTAAGATTGCAGTTATGATGCGATGGTTTTTTTTTCGAAATCAATGTGGTTTTCTGTCAAGTGTTAGACGTGTTTTATTCTCAACGATTGATATTTTACATAATTTATTTTGTTTTTATCAAAACCCCTCATTTTAAAATATCATTTTAATATGTATGTTCTAGTTTTTTTACTTCAGTGTCCTGAAGATGAAACAATACAGTTTCGAAGCGTCTACAATTTATTAATTGGTTTTCTCCAACATTTCGATCGAATTCCTGCTAACTCAACACCAGAAAAACATTATTATGGTTATTCAAACTCATGGCTAAAACTCTATTACGAATTAGTGTTATCTATCTTTATGAACTTCCAAAATATTGTGTACTGATTGATTTGAAGTGTTTTGTATGAATATCGTTTATTGTAATATTAGTTGTAGAATTCCCCATTTTATAAAGTGATATCAGAGTCCTCGTGTTATCGGTATGTAATTTTATGTCTGATTTATATTCGTTTGAGTATATTTGTTGAATAAATATTTACTAATTGAACATATTCGAATATCTGAATGCGTACACTAGCAAATTGCAATTTAGTCATATGTGAAGATTCTGGAATTCCGGTCAATACCATTCTATTGACCAGATGACTCACAAAAATCCCTAAGTTGTCATATGCAGGTGAATCTAAAATGGAAGAAAGCATTTTCATCAGTACAATACCAAATGTCAGATTTCAGCATTAGGGAATAATAATCTAATAGCGAATTCCACATATTTTGTATTCCATTGATAAAACTGGTGTCGGGTTTTGAATTCCATTGGAAAACTGGTTCACATAGTTTAGAGCTCAGTGCAACAATTCTCGCACGAGCTCTAATAGATCGTGCGAAGTCATTGCAGATTGAAAAAAGATTACTTCCCAGAATTCATAATTTTGTTGAAAGTATTTTGCGAATTCAATGATGAAGTACTTATAAAAAAATGAAGTGCTCAAAATTATTCCCATGAAACACCTACTACGTTTCAAATTGAAGTTAAGAAATAATTTCAGGATGCGGACAAGTTATAAACAAAGACAAAACAACTTATCGGATTCAACCTCCAACAATAATTTTATTATAATATTATTTCGTATTTCATTGGGAATGCACCAGTTCACATTTTGGAGAGCACTGAAGTAGTGCCGGTGCAAAAGTGGTGCAAAACCAGTGCAATACCAGGTTTACGAATGGAATTCGTTATAAGGTAATACCACGAGTCCTACAAATATCAATACATCATCCAGCCCAGCGAACTTGCATGTGGTAAAGTATTAAAACAAAGCCAAAAAAGGAATGTAACTGATAGAATTTGAAGAACGAGCCGGGATGATTTTTTTGCAACCAATTTCTGAAAAAAAAACCGATTCATTGTCTTCTGCCAGTTATCAAATCAATAACTAATTCATTTCATTCGCGGTCGTCAAGGTCATTATTGTATGACGTTGCGTTGACATTAAAATGTACAGGAAAACATGTCTAACAGCGTATTCGTCTGGTTGCACTATTGCGCATTTATTTCCAATTTTTGTTGTGCACGTGTGTTCGACTGGTATGCACTCAGACAGTACCAATAATATTGATACAGGGTATCTCACGATATATCTATATCGAGAATCAGTCGGGAGAAATCCATGAAAATATGCATGCTTATACAGGGTGGGCCACCAGTAACGCCTCGGTCTCTAGAAGGCTAACTAATAATCCTCTAGGATGTTGCACGTCAACATAGGCTACCATTTGAAATTATTTCAAACATACGGGGTGTCCCCAAAAACCGCAAAACACTAAAGTTATACTTTTTTTTATTGCACACCCCATATATCATTTCATTTTTAGATCCTCTCTGATGAGCTGATTTCAACGACCCATCATACTTGGGGTCTAGCAGTAATAATTTCGAAGATATAGGGTGTGAAAAGTCGAGATATTCCAAGTTCAAGAATTTGTTGTGTCAAAACTATTCATAATTGGTTAAAACGGTTTATATGTCCCTATCTCAACTTTTTATCCACTATCAATTGATATTCGATTGAAACAAATACTGGGTGGTTCAGAATTATATTATATCCCCTGTATCTATTTTAATTAAAATACCAATCGATAGTGAATAAAAAATTGAGATAGGGATATGTAAATTTTTTGACCAATTATGAATAGTTTCGACACAAACAATTCCGAAACTTGGAAATCTCGATTTTTCACACCCTATATCTCAGTAATTATTACTGCTAGACCCCAAGTACGATGCGTCGTTGAAATCAGCTGTTCCAGGAGAATCTCGAAATGAAATGATACATAGAATGTTCCATTAAAAAAAGTATATCAAACTTCAGTGGAGTTTTTTTGGGGGACACCCTGTATATTTCGAAATAATCTCAAATAGTAGCCTATGTTGACATGCAACGTCCTAAAGAGGAAGAATTTCAGCGTTAGCCTTCTGAGACTGAGGCGTTACTGGTGGCCCACCCTGTATATTAGAATACGCTCTCTTCATTCGAAATATATTCGGCAATGCAGTGTTGCCGCGTCTTTCAAAAAGTAGCAACACTTTTGTTATTTCAAATATTTTATTGCATTTTTAGATTCTCCCTGAAGAGCTGATTTCATCGATACTTCACATTTGGGGTTGTAACGAAAAATCTCACACTTGTAGATTTTTGTTCCTTTTCGATGATACTTTTTGGTTTACCTCGTATACTGTTCGTCGTTAGTGTTTGTTGATTGGTTGAATAGTGGGAATTGGACAGGTAAGTATACCACGTGATCCTTCTGCTTGTCACATGGTTGTCGCTTCTAATCAGTTTCAAACCATTGCACTTGTGACTGGCTTATTTCAATCATTTCATGGCCTAATGGAACAGCTAACACTAATTGAAACTATCAATCAAACTTTCAGATTGGATACTAATCCAAGGATAGGTCTATATTTGATTGATAAAGTTTAATTAAAATATTAACAATGTAGATTTAATAGTTTCTCGTAAAAAGTTGAAAGTTTGGCAACACCACACCACATGAGTCTGCATTTTGAATAAAATAATAGAAGCACGGAAAAAGAAAAGACCAGTTCGCTCTCTTCCTGAAATATCTGTCCTAGAGTGAAGACGCTTGACAAGGTTTTTCTGATAAAAAACCTGATACAGGTAATGAATGGATTCTTTATCGAAGTTTTGATGATTTGATTTTTCAACATGTCAATTTAAATTGTAGCTTCTACTGTTTGAACTGAAAATTGGATTATTTCTATTTACAAGTGAAGAGGTATCTTTTGCAAATTATTTGATGTTAGAGATATATCAAATTTTGATTGGATGAGACGCCATTTGCTCTCGTGTTGAAATTTATTTGTATCTTTATCTTCAATATAATCCTATAACTAGGAGGATTAATATTGAACATATTTATCTTTTACTCATGAATTGAGAAAATAATGAGTGTATTTTTGTTCTTGAGGTTTATGTAACTCAAGAAAATGTGGTTATGAAATAATAGTTTTTCTGCCGGATTTTTTGTATTTTCTTTCAGCTTAATTGGAGCCTTCTAGAAGTCCATATATAATCTATTCCTAAGGTGTTTTGACCAAATTTGAGATATTGGTGCTTGAAGGAAATCCACTAGAATTATTCTGATTGCTCACTTTGAAGTCCCAGAGAAAATACTTTCCAGCTGAGATCTAGGATTGAACCTGTTTTTGAGGTGAGTAGCAAACTTTTATGTATCTAGACTGAATGTCACATCTGTCGTAAGATTTTGCTTGCTCACTTCGAAACAGCTCAATCCACCTGTTGGCTGGATTGTAGATTTTCATTATCACATGAGTTTATCTTTCTCTAAGATACTGTATTTTTGAGGTTGATTATCTCTATTACTTCACTCTCAAATAGAAATAATCTGACAATAAGATTGCTATAGTAATCCATTCGTTATCTCAGTTATTTTATCTTACCTAAATAAATTTTTATCTTATCTATCTTCTGAGAACTTGACTCTAGGAACGATATTGAGCAAGGTATCAATCTTTATATCTTGTATTTATCTTAGCTTACCTAATCTTTGATATCTCCTTTCTGTTTGAGACAGACATTAATTTTCTGAGATAGTTTCTATCAAGGAAACGAAATTTCACAATTGTTTTTTTTTTGTAGAATTCAGAACATAATTTAGTCCATCCAACTAAGTCATAGAGAAAAAAGTTGTTCATACAAGGTTCACTGAAATCCTCTTGAACACCTCACAGGTTCATTTTTGCACATAACAACAGTGTCAAACATTGTGAAATTGTACATATCTTTTCTTGTTTAGATAGTTTCTCTGATCAACTTAATTATTGTAAATAAGATCTCCAGGTTGATTTTGACTTGTGATTGAGTTTGAAGGCTCACTTATCACACTCCATCGAAGTTTCACTACAGAAACTCAAATACTGGATAGATTCTGTTCGCTCTATTGCTTTTAGCTAAACAGCAGGAGACGAAGGTTTCCTACGACATCTATGAACTAGATTGTAAGAACTCCTGGGACATACCAGTCGACCAAGTCTATGTTTTGGAAGTAGTTCCATGAACTCCCTCAACTAGAACTTCAAAAGTCCGACAGGAGTGCAACAAACTACCGAAGACCAAGGAAACTTTCCAGGAAGGAATTCGACGGAGTAAGTGTCCTTCATCACTTGAAACAAGTCCAAATTTCCTTTAAATTGGTCAATTCCACTTGAAATTGATTTTCTTAATAATTAAGACATCTTTGAAATTTTTGTATATTTTTGAACATAGATTTTCTGTACATTTTTGAACATACATTTTTTGTACAATTCTGAACATCAATTTTTGTACTCATAGCAATTTCATACATGAAATTAAATTGTTAAGCTTGAAATTTTGTTTTACTGTTCTTTGTGCATAGATTGTTGGTTTTTGTATTTTAACCAGGAATAAAATACATGGCGC